CCTCTGTGCCTGAATCAACAAAAGCCAGAAGAGATTCTTTGAATCCATCCCTGGAAACCAGTGTGGGCAAAAAAAGGCCAGAAGAGGGAAGGATACCGACCTTGTCAGAGGGCAGGGAAGTACAGGGAGGGCAGACAGGGCATGAAGCTCGGAGATGGCCGGCTGCCACGCAATAAGGGCAACATCCCTCGGAGAGTCGTGGTGTCACTCCTCAGAAGACAGACTAGAGAAGGAGGTTGGGCGGGAGGGGGCAGAAGGGGTTTGAAGCCGGGAGCGTTGTTCTTGGAGCCTGATATTAATTTCGGCCAGATGGTAGATAAGATGCTCCAAGGAGGGAAAGTCCAGTGGAAGATATGCGAGGTGGTCCTGAAAAGCGGAAGACAAGCCCTGGCAGAACTGGTGGATAAGAGCCTCTTCATTCCAGGGCATTTGGGAGGCCAAAAGGTGGAATTCCATAGCATAATCTTGAAAAGTCCGGGAACCCTGGGTGAGAGAGACGAGACAGGAGATGGCTATATGGTGGGAGTGGAGATGACCAAAAATGGACTGCATGGCAGCAGAAAACTGGTTGGCATCAGCAGTCACGGGAAGATTCAGAGTGAGGAGGGAAGTAGCCTAGTCCAGGGCTCGACCGGAGAGGTGAGAGACCATGAAGGCAATCTCTCTGTCAGAGGGAAAATAATCCGGGCGAAGGTGGAAGGCCATCCAGCACTGGGTTAAACTCTGGAGTTTAGCTGGGTCCCCCTCAAATTTCTCCGGGATGGGAGGGGGCAAGAGGCAAGCAGCAGCAGCCAGGGGAGGAGCAGGTACGGGAGCCACCGGAGGAGGTGGGGGACAGGTGGTGTGGTCCACTAGGCATTGAACTGCAGCAGTCAGTTGTCCTAGAGCCTGGGACTGCTGTTGGAAAAAAAAGCAGCAGTGCTGTTATGGTCCGCTGGATCCATGAATAGGCTCAGTATTCTGTCAGAATGGGGCTGATCTGGTCAATGGATCCTGTGCAGAACTCCGGAGACTGAGAAAAACACTAAGCTGAATCGCTAGGCAAAAAAACTAAAACGAGGAAGCAGGAGAGGAGGTCAGAACGCGAAGTCAAAGAGGCAGCAATGATCCAAAACACAAGGCGAAGTCAAATCCAGGAATCAGGTGAGTAGGTCGGAAAACAGAAGTACAACGAGAAAGCAACAATCCAAAACACTAGGCGAAATCGAACACGAGAAGCAAGCAAGGAGATCAGGAACCGGAGAAAAGCTAGAGGAAAACGCGCACTAGGGACCTCAAGGAGAATCTGCAATAGTGAGCGGGGAAATGAGGAAAAAGGAGAACTAAAATAGGGACGGGAGAGAACGGTGATTGGTGTGTTACTTGCGGCGTGAGCGTTTGTTACAGGGTGTACGCGTGGGAATGCGGGAAGGAACAGAGACGCGAGTGGAATGCGTAACACCATTATCTGCTGGATAGAAACTTGCAGCTGATTAAATGCATGAGAATGCTGAGAAAGCACCATACCTCACCTTCTGCAGGGTCCATGTTAAGACTCAGTATACCATTACAGTGCAGAAGAAGGGCCCTAAGCAGAATCCTCTGAACTCAAAAGTACCAGCAAGAGTAAAAAAAACATAGGTCAGGAAGTCAGGCCAGGATCAAAAACCAGTAAATCCACAATAACTAAGTCAAGATCCAGATGACAAAGTCAAGGATCAGAGCCAAAAACCTAGAAATGTTGTGAAGCAGGGGACAATACAACTCTAGCTAGGTAAAACCCAATGTTAAGCAAGGAGTGGTGTGTCAGGTTGTCAAGTAGAAAGGTGGAAGAAGGTGTCTGATTAGTTACTTGGAAACTGCAATGTGAAGGAGATGATTAAGGGCGGTGAGTTCTCCGGGGGCGTGACGTAACATTGTGATTCCAATTACAATAGTAGAAGAGGGGAGAGGAGAGAGATGGAATAGAGGTGCTGTTGGTCCTCGGAGAAGCCAGCTAACTGCATCCATGGCAAAAAGAGGGAAAAACTGGCTTGGCACAGCACCAGCCCTAAATACAATACTAAACAGCCCATTCTTGGATTAAATCACTTTTAAGAACTGGGATATCTGAATATAGAATATAGTGTCTGAATCAGGCAAATTTGCATTGTTTGCATATCAGGCTGTAATGCAGATACCGTATTAGTTTTCATTAGGAGACAGTTATAGTTTTAATATTAATCCAAAAGATTGCATCAGCTTTCTGAAACTATCTTTTGGGGTCACCAGACTGGAAAAACAGAAATGCATCCTCATCCTGTTTACACTTCTCTAGTTATATCAGTATGATTACTGTGACATAAAACCAACTACAAAACTAAGTTAAGACACAAAGAAACATTTTAAAACGTTGTATTGTTCATTTGGGAACAAGTAAAGGTTAGTTCATGCTGAAAAAAGAAGAAAAAGTACTGGTTCCTTTCCGACCTACACATGCTGACGCAGTTAGCTACTTGAACAATTGTTCATTTATTTCAATTAAATTCGTTATATATCATATAAAATAAAGGGTTTGAATAGAATTCCGGGTCGTGCCATTGCTTTTCCTTGTTCTGTACAACAATCAAAATCCATTATTGTTGAGCCACAACTACACAAGTAGCCTACTTCTATCCACATATAGAACAGATAATTATTGTTTTCATAAACTCAGGTCTGCTTTCATAAGATCTTTACAGCAGCATTACGGCTGGTTACTACTATCAAACATTTAAAAGTCAACACGTATTACGATAACAAAAAATCGATTTAATATCCGTAAAGGAATGCTGTGAATTAAACAATTAAACATTATAACAATGGGGGAAAAAAAACAATTACATATTTTAATTTTTACAAAACGGTCCTCGTTCTGCTTTCACCACAGAGCTTAAAAGTCTTAAAAGCTTAAAGTCTTAAAAATCCTGGAGGGAGAAAATAAGCTGCAGCTGCAAAAGCAGCCGCTTGGTAAAGTTGAGACTAACAATCAGAAAGAGATAAAAAAAAACCGTTTGGCTCCAATTAAAGTTTCGTTTCTCTGTTTCCTTTCAATGCAGTGATCTCCCAGATCCTTTCGGTTTCTCGGAAACCTCGTGATACAGCTCTTATGCCAGTCGGCCTTCCTCCCTGAAACAGCTAGCGGAATAAAGCTCTCCTTCTCCAGAAGGCGTTTCTAGTTAATACAGCTGTAGCATAGGGTTAAGGGTGTGGTCGGCGTACCGCAGCTAAAGGAAGAAAGATGAACGGCCTCATTTTTTCAAGCAAGGATGTTGGTAACAGGTAAAGGTTACAGATGAAAGCAGGTTTGCTTCCTGCAATAATCAAATTATTTGATCAAGCCACTCCTAAGATCCGAGAGAAATGGTTGTAACACTGTAACTCAGCAGTTTGTTCTAAGATATCAGTGTTTGATAAAGGAATGTCCTGTTTTCTTTCACGGATGCTCCCCTTTAATTTTCTCGTGCGTCGCCGATTATTTGAAGATGTCAGATGCCTTTCCTAGCACAATACTTCTCATGATATTTAAGAACACTAACACATATCTATATTGTCGTCTTTCCCCCAAAACTGTGACTTGACAAATTATTGAAAAACATTTAAAAAATGTAAGCTCAGTCTCAGAATCAATGGGCACAACTAGTGGGAGTAAACATTTCGTTGTATATGTTTTGCATTATCTTTTCAATTTCAATACATTCACTTTTAAAATCCCTAACTGTAGATTGATCTGCAAACGGCTACAGAAGAGATTTTCGCTGTTTTAAAAGTAAGATTAAAGTACATCTTTTAGTCCTTTGTGATAGATTCTCATTACTTGCAGAGTTTTGTGATTGTCTTGTATCACCTTCTGAATTTATACATATTTTGATTTAATTAACTCCTTCAGTTAAGATGATTTTCGAATGTCAAGCTGTGTTTTCTAGAATAAAACTGTTCTTGAAACACTGTTTCTTAAACTATTTCAGCAAAACTGTAATTTCCTGGAATTAAAAAGTACTGTATGATGCATCATTTGCAAATAAGTAAAGATATTTAACAGGCAAAAGTAACTAAATGTCAGCAAAGAAACATACTGGATCCTTTTTCAGTCTGAAATTTCTTTAGTTCTGAACTAGATGTGTTTTGTACACTATAAGATAACTCTTTACAGGTTTTTGTAATCCTGAACCCAGGAGTCCACTTGGGGGCTTAATCTAAGACCTATAGTGAAACAAAATCCTGAAGGTACAAGTGGAAATTGAGGGAATGTACATTTAAGACAGTGAAAACTGGTGTCTGTTCAATATGTGTTAAAATTTTCTGGAGCAGGCTAGCCAGTTATATAATTGAAGCAAATCTTCTGTGATTCTTTGAAAAACGTCTGGACGAGATCTGCAGATCACATAGCAAGACAATACAATTAATAATAATAATAATAATAATAATAATAATAATAATAATAATAGCTTACACTTATATAGCGCTTTTCTGGATACTCCACTCAAAGCGCTTTACAGGTAATGGGGACTCCCCTCCACCACCACCAATGTGCAGCATCCACCTGGATGAAGGTGAGCAGAATGGCCTCCTCTGGTTTGTAACCTTTTTATGTACTTATGTTTATGCTTAATCTTATGGTACAATGAAATCTTTTACCAAATTCCAAATTCCAAATTATTTGATATATTTTTAATACAACAATATCATTTACAATTAGGATTTTAATTTTTGTAAATTGTCAAAGAAAAATAATTTGCTAAATTACACCGTAAGTATGCACATTTGTCTAGGTTTCTGCGTCTCACAAAATCTCATGGGAAAGTAAACTTTCTATTTCTCCTACAGGCTGGGGAAATTACGAGGGAGGGTTGACTAATGTTTAGAACAGCTCCTACTCCCTGAGCCTTTAAAAAAAAGTGGGAAAGACAATTTCCTCTTTACGTTGGTTGGCTTTCGAAGAGGAATTGGGTGTTAGTGAGCAAACTCTTATTTGTGATTGGCTGAGAGGCATGCCAATTGTTTGTTTCTGGTCAGCTGGCAAGATGACATCCAGTTAATAAGAACGTCAGAGTTAGTTTCGTTTTTCGTGGTGTTTTGAGTGAGAGAAATCATTTTTCTGAAGTCTACAAGGTTGAGACCAGTGGATGTCCTTTCTTCTGTTCGACGTTTTGTTAAGTGTTTATTTTAAACGGATCAAATATTAAAGGTTAGTAAACAGTTTGATTTAAATACGAAGTTTTATTTACAGGAAGTCGGGAGAGGCTCTGTAGCTGTAGTGATGGACCCTTTACATACAGTACGGTTGCTTTGGAAATTACTGTTGTCGTCGTCATTGCTATACTGTTTTTGATGAGGTTATATATACTGTATATATTTTTACCTTAAGTAGTTATTAACACAACTTCAGGAGTGACAATAGGAGTGTTTTATTCTATAATAATTTTTTTTATATGGTATACTGTAGAGATCATACAGTACTGTACACTGGTAATTAATAAAGTTATCTAAAAACACACTCCATGATATACCATAGTTTATCACAGCACAGTCCTATTTAATTATACTAGTAGTGGTTAATATAAAGAATGATATGTTGTAATTATATCGTATTTTCTTTTATATATTTTTGTCTCAATCTTTCTGAATCTTGAAATGATATTCATAAATATTTCTGTTCTCTATTTTGATAAAAAGTTAAGTAAATGTACTTCTTGCAATTTTCGAACTGTATTAATGTATTTTGCTGATGATTTGATCAGGTCTCAAAAATGTTTATACTGCCCTTACATAAACGGCAAGGACTTCTGAAAATGAGAAGTCCCAGATTGCCCTGCAGTTATATTTGAAGTTACTGTATTTGCTAGAGCCTAAATTTCCAGTTGGCCTTTCCGCAATTGGAATTATAGAATAGACCCACCTAGGCTATAGTACTGAGATATCAGACTCATTTTATGGAAGGCCTTGTGTCACAAATTTGATATTTAATGGTGAATCCTACTAGATGGGAGCTAAGGTTTTAGACCCCTAATCTACTGTATTTGTGAAAGTGAAAACTGGCTTTATTTTATTTCAGTGCCCATCACAAGTATACCATTAAATAACATGGGCAGTCATTTGTTAAGCAACAATTTTAAAAGCATGTGTGAAGAACCTTTTATTCACAAGTTTTTACTTGTACTGTCCTAATTGCGCAAACATTTACTAGTCTAAAGTTTTAAAGTTGATTTTCTCAGTCATAACATTGAGCATCATAGTCAAAATGGCTGAAACAAATTGTGTGTGTGGGGGGTCCAAAATATGAATTTCAACTTAAAGTAAACTGTTTTGCACTGTTTTTTAAACTAACAAAATTTTTACTTCTGTCCAGTTATGTCTGTTCTTTAGGAACAGACAGTCTTATTTAGGATGCTGAACTGATTAACTTAATGATGCTGCCTGGTTGTTAACCTGAAGCTTATACTTTTAATGTTTTCTGACCTAATAGATTTGAACTGCATCAAAAAAGGTGTTGTTAATTTGTTTTTAAATGTGTAAAAAATGTATTTTGCACTTTTTAAATCTAGAATTGGAATTTTTTCTCATACATGTACCCAGTTTGGAATAGACAGCTTACTATTTTTCAGATCCTGGTTCATGGCTCAAACCCTGCAGCTGCACACAGGAGAGAAGGAGGAAGTGTAGTAGACTCCTTGAGCCCTCTCACTTTCATACATTTCACAGTTCCATGAAGGAGGTTCTGACCAACTACTCCCTTGCTGGCGTTGAGCCAAAAGTTCTTCATCACTTGTGGGATTGCAATCACATTTGGCTGGTGAAATGAAGTGGGTTTGAACTCATGATGCCTGGCTCAAACCTGCATTTGGGTGAACACTTCTGTCAGTTTTTTTAGGGTCATTCTATATGATTTTTAGGGAAAAGATTAGTCTACAATAGATTTGCTGCATTTGTTTTCAATGTGTGTCTACAGTAAGACATTTCCTTTGGTGTTGATTACTGATAGTAGTAGTGACCATTTCTACACTGTAGGATTTCTGCTGCCCATAGTGATTATTGGCACCTAGAGTTGTTTAATGTCCTTTTATTTGATCTTGGGAGACAGGAATATATTGCTTTCTTGATGATCCCACAGGTGTATGGCTGCAGGGTTGAGGTCAGTGCCCTGTTCAGTTGTGTATGTCCACAGCCCTAGAATGTTTATAGTTTTTTTTTTTTGGATGCTCACTTAACTCACTTAATGTGTTGAAAAATGCTTTAGGAGTAGGGAACCCAGCTTTAGTTCTTGGTATAACTGGTAAGATCTTGGAAAAATCATGAGTTTATCAGATTGTGATCCAAAAAAATCTGAGGAAATTCTGGGAAGACTTTCAAGCTCAGCTGGTAAGCATAGAAGATAACTCCACACCATCAGAGATCACAAGTGAGATTGTTTAAATCCTAATTAAGTGATGTCATTATTGATTTAAGTTCCTCATGCCATAGAGATACACAGTATGACTGGTATTCAGCCGCTGTGCCTTTAAGAACTCTAAGCTGTAGGGAGTTGGTGTTTTGATGTGCTACAGCTTTGATCAACTTAAATGCTGTATTACTCCTCTGACTGGAGGTGCAAGACTCTTTTAGTGTAGTCCACACAGAGAAAAGAAGAAGGAAGTAATGTTGGTGATGGAAGACGCCTATCCAGCTGTGAGTGCAGTATGAGTGTGGTGTTCACCTGGTACATGCGGGGGTGCAGCAGCAGTTCTATTCTGCCCCGAGCTATTGAGATACAGGCATGTGTGAGAAGTGGGTTGTAGGTGGCCATTGTTTCAGGGACACAGCAGGTCCATGAATGCTACAGAGGTCATAATATGTGGATGCCAAAAGGATGCCCTGTTCTCCAGCGGAGCTTTGAGAGAGAGACCGATGTCCACAAACATGTTTTCAGCAAAAGTTGGTGGCTGCATTTTGCAAAAAAAGGCAGCGGGGCTGGACAGCAGGGTGCTGGGGGTTATGGAAGCATGTGGTGTGCGGCAAAACTGCAGGTGGAGGAGGTTGGAGTCTTCCCTGAAATGGGATGCATAATATGATCTTGGAGACCAGATAGGTTCAGTCTGAACAGAGAGCTAGACTTTCTGGAGGTACTCTAGTGGAACAGGGCTGTCAGACTAGTAAAGTTGTTTCACCTGCCCTGGCATGCCAAAGTGAATGTAAAAGGGGTATTAGGACTAGAAAGCAGTACCACTGGAAGGACCCCAGCTCTGTAAGTGAAAAATAGGTTAAAGTCTATCCAGTTACTGGCTTTCTGGTATGTTTAGTATAAGTAACAGCTGTTTTCACCACTTTTTATGAATGTTTATTATATTGATATGTACATGGGCGACAAGTTGTTAATGAATACGTCATTATCACATACTTCATATAGTACTATTGTTGTTAGTCGCTGTTCCATCTCCAAACATTTCTGCATTTTGTTGTTTTTCACTTTTTTATTTCTAGTGAAATGGCTCAGTGGTATCAGCTGCAACAGCTGGAATCAAAATACCTGGAACAAGTGGATCAGCTGTATGATGACAGCTTTCCAATGGAAATAAGGCAGTACTTAAGTCAATGGATTGAAAACCATGACTGGTGAGCTCAGTGATAATATGTTAACAGTATGACTTTAGTTTAGGAAATATGTTTTTGGCTTTTTCAACAGAAGTTCAAACACAAGTAAAACATGCAGTGGGTATAGAAAGTCAGCACCCCCTTTCAAAATGTGTACCTTTTGTTGTATGAGGCTCTGAAAATAAAAACAAATTAAATTTAAAATGTTTCATTTGTATTTACACACAGTAACCCACATTAGTCAAGTGAAAATAAAATTCTAAAATATTCTGAAAATTAATATTACAACAGTAAAATACCTTATTTGGATAAGTGAACACCCCCCTTACAATTGCGTTTGTAAACTTGCTCAGGTATAGCCAATCACCTTACAGATCGCACAACAAACTAATTGGCTCCCACCTATGATCAATTGTGGTAATTTTGATTAGTTTTCAAAGCAAAGGATCCACTATGGGCTGAAAGGTTCTTTCAAAAGAACTTTGAGATAAAGTTGTGGAGTGGCACAAGTCAGGTGATGGGTATAAAAAGATTTCACAGGCTGAAGGTATCCTATGGAGCACAGTCAAGACCATCATTAAGAAGTGGAAGGTGTATGGCACCACCCAGACTTTGCCTATATCAGGCCGTCCCTCCAAACTGAATGACCGAGCAAGAAGGCAACTGATCATAGAAGCTACCAAGAGGCAGATGGCAACTTTGAATGAACTACATGCCTTTATGGCAAAGACTGGTGATTGTGTGTTATGTGACAACAATATCGCAAGCGCTCCACAAATCTGGCCTCTATGGGGAGGGTGGCAAGAAAAAAGCCACTCCTTAAAAAAAAAAAGCCACATCAAGTCTCAGTTATCTTTTGCTAAAAAGCACCTTAAAGATTCTGTGGCCAAGTGGCAAAGGGTGCTGTGGTTAGATGAGACCAAAATCAATCTTTTTGGCCGGAATGCAAAACGATACGTCTGGCGAAAACCCAATACATCTTGCCATCCAAAGAACACAGTTCCTACAGTAAAGCACAGTGGTGGCAGCATCCTGTTGTGGGGGTGTTTCTGTTCAGCTGGGACTGGGGCACTTGTCAGGATAGAAGGGAAGATGGATGGTGCAAAATACAGGCAAATTCTTGAAGAAAACCTGCAGCCCTCAGCCAGGAAGTTGAAAATGGGAAGATGGTTCACCTTTCAACATGATAATGACCCGGAGCAACCGTACAGTGGCTGAAGGACAGGAAGGTGAATGCCCTTGAGTGGCCTAGTCAGAGCCCCGACCTAAATCCCATTGAAAGTCTTTTTGGAATGACTTGAAGAGGGCAGTCCATCAAGGGTCACCACACAGTTTGACGGAGCTTGAACAATATAGTAAGGAGGAATGGGCAAATATTCCTCCCTCCAGGTCTGCAAAGTTGGTAGAAATGTATCCAAACAGACTCAAGGCTGTAATTCAAGCAAAGGTTGTTTCCACTAAGTGTTAACTAAGGGGGGTGTTCTCTTATCCAACCCAGTTATTCTACTGTTTTTTTTTTTCAGAAATTGTACTTTCTTTTTTCACTTGGATGTTGCAAGGTACAATTTGTAAATAAAACTGGAAAAAGTCAGATTTTATTACATTTTGAAAAGGGGTGGTTACTTTCTATATTCACTATAAGAGTCACATAAAATCACAACAACAGTATGTGATAAATAAATGGGTCGGGGGGGGATACATTTACATACCTTCATTGAGCTGTTTTATTGCAGAGGGGACAAAGGACTTCTTATAAATGTTTTTTTTTTTTAATTTGATATCTTATACTGTTTTCCTGATGGGAGTATTATGAATTGAAAATGGAGTGGTTGTGTGAAGTCAGGTGTGATGTCCCTTGCCATTCTGAGAGATGTATTATGATATAAGTCACAGAGCTGGAGCTGCTGTTTCCCTTTTTAATTTTTCTGCCATTTTCACAATCCTAGGCAGTTTGCTTTTCAGCCCCAGGTTTCCGTGCCAAACTGTCATGTTAAATGCCAGGAGGCTCTCAACAAGGCTTTTATATGCCATCTCTAGGACATTTTGACTAACAAGTTCTTTGAATCTTTGAATTGAGAGTCTTTGAATGAAAAACAGCCTCTGGTTTGCTTTCTTAAACATTGCCTGCAATTTATTAAAGAAGGCTTATGTTGAGCACAGAGAAGCATGCTTGTACAAGCCCATAGTAAATGAGAAATGTAAATAGAGGCATGTATAAACTTACTTTGATGCCTTGCATTGGAATAAACTTGTACTGATAACAATAAGAATGGAAAAACTGCTTAATTGATGCGAATCCTAGAATATGTCTTTCATTAGGTATTTAACACTTCTGTCATATAAAAATACATTTTTAAATTTCTGTTAACTATAAGCATTATTTGTTTTAAGATCACATTTTTCTTCACTTTTATTATTTTGTGTTGTATTGTAAATCACACTAAATTCATGTACAATAATAATGATGGTGGGGGGGGGGTTCTCATTCCTACAGGGAACTTGTTGCCACCAACGACTCCCTAGCCACCGTACGATTCCATGACCTGCTTGCACAGTTAGATGACCAGTACAGCCGCTTTGCTTTGGAAAACAATTTTCTGCTACAACATAATATAAGGAAGATAAAACGTAACCTCCAGGTACTATGAATAATGAAGGGAATGTTTTTTTGCCCCAGAAGAAGTAATACATGTTTTAGTGTATAAGGCAGAATTTAGGTTTTTAACGTGTAATGTTTCAGTCAGTTCAGTGTTTGAAGTTATAGATAAGACTCTGCAGTTGAGGAACATTGGTTTTCACGGTGAATTTTAGGTTATGTGTATATTAAAGATTTAACCAATGAAATAAACATGAATAGCTTTCTATAATTTCTATAATTCTCTCGGGTTAGATCCAACTATTAAAAATTAAAAATATTAAAAAATAGTATTGTGTATCCAATTTAAGAGTGGAGATTTCTGCAATTATGCAAGTATATTTTTGCTGTGTTTGCACAGGTTCACTTTCAAGAAGATCCAATCCAGATGGCAATGATCATTTGCAACTGCCTTAAAGAAGAGCAGAAAATATTAGCTGCTGCCAAAAAAACTGAGGTGATATAAATTTAGGTTTTCTTTTACGACTGCTTTTACAGGAATAATAATTTTTCTGCGTGAAAATGATATTTTATTATCTTGCATCCGTCCTACATTCATTGTCCTGCTGTATGTGTGAATTAATTGCAGGTCTTTATTCCTGTGGAAGCTTGAAGGGCTCAAATAAAACCCATGGGATCGTAGATAATATTGTGACCTGATCCTACTGATTAGCTGCAAGGTGACATCCTGGTTTTCGTATCCCTGATTTTAATTATGAATTTGCTTTCTGTAGTTTAATTTTCAATGAGGTATGAGGTAGAAGGCTGCATGTGACCAATATTGATAACTTCCAATAATGCATCATTAAAAAAACAAACAAATTTAAAATGTTCTCCAGGTTAAGCAAGTCCTTAGCATAATCATAGTAATAGGTGCAACTTAATATGAAATTATTTTTTATCTTTGTTCGTTTGAAATGTGATCTTGATTAATGGTACTCTAACAATCAGTTAGAAGACTTACAATTTTGGGTGAATAATTTTGTCTGTGTTTATTTAATTTGATTTCTTTTACATTATCTAATATTATGTAACCTTATTTTTTTGTAACCTTAATTTTGTGATTTTTAACCCCCCCCCGATGAGTTCGTAGAAAAGACATTTTATTGCCGGCAAATGTATATGCCGTATTGATGTGCATTTGATAAATAAACTTTGATTGATTGAATCCCCATTTTAAACCTCAAGTGCAGGGTGAGGGCAGAGTCTATAATCATGGATTTCAGCTTGCATTAGTATTCAGGGTCTGAGCCTGGGCTATGCAGCATTCATTTGACAACTTGGACGGATTTAGTGTGTAATGGAGTACAGTAAGTTGAGTGTTGGTGATGGTAGGATGAGATTGAAGGCTAAGGTGCTCCTGGCTCTCAGCACTGCAATTCTGCAGTCTCTGTGGCAGTTGCAGGCCATGAGGGACACCCTCCAATTGGTGTTAAGCTGCTGCAACCCAAAGCATGCGAGTTGGAGGTGTCTGCCTACGCTCCTCATTCTCCCCTGTATGTTGCTGCAGGGTTCAAAGCTGCAAGAAAAGACCTAAAAACAGTTAATCCAACAAAATTAATTGTTGATTCTGAAAAAAAATTAAAAGTGGGGCATGTAGTGTTAATGTGGTATTAGCAGGATTAGTGGGCTGTATCAGTTTGAGTGAATGGGGTTCTCTCCTGTACATGTGAAGATCTTTCTTTCCTGGTGTTATCGGAGAGAACTGAAGGATAGTGCTCACATCTTGTTCTTTACTGTTATTTGTCCTTTCCTGTCCGTTACATGATTCTACAATAAATAATTACAAAAACTATTATAACCTGCAGTGCATTTGGGCTTAGTGGGAGCATATTGAATTAGTGTTTTTTTTTAAGGATTAACCAAAAAAAGCTAAAAAAAAAAACAGTTTTGTCTGGGAATGTTAGAATGAGGGAATAAATAGGCATTCTGATTTTCAATTAAAATAATTGAAAACTAAGAATACAAATATGTTAGGTGTGTTGTCATAACATAAGGATATACAAATATGTTATCCTTTTTGTCATGTCTATGATATTACTTGGAGCACTTCTGAAGTGCTGTAAAAAGTCTGCTAAAGAGCCTACTGTAACCTTTCTTTTTTCCCTCCAATGTCAGGACAATGTTGGGAACGCACAGAACAACGTCATGGTAGAGAAACAAAAGGAACTAGATATCAAAGTGAGGGATATAAAGAACAGAGTGCAGGTAAGCAATATAGTCGAGTACCATCCATATTTAATAGTGCATAGGAATTATTAGTAAAAGGTTAAATATTTTCTGATATTTTATAGACCAAGCATTTAGGACCAAGAGGAACTGTAAGTGCCACAACTAGTTTGATGCAGTAAATATAATTGCATATTTTAATGTTAGGCTCATGATAACAAATTTCAAGCTGCTGGGCACATTCATTTTATATATTTTTATTTTAATAAAAAGTAGAATTATATGTGGTTCATCAGCACACCGAGTGAGGTCTGGTAATATCTCATTTGTGTTCTGGCTGTCTGTTCAAACATAAAAGTATGAAATTTAAGTGAAATTTTACCTAATAGTTTGGAGCTCACACAGTGGAAACAAAATAGCAAAGGTTAACACCCACCCATTATAGCCACACTGCTTCTTTGAAAAATTAATATATTTTGTAGAATGTTTTTTTAACATTTTGCCTTCTTATTTGTTATGATTATAAACCAGTGTTTTGCCTTCATATTCTTTGAAATACCCTAAACCTTAAAACAACAGTGAATTGACTTAAGGGGAATTCAACTTTTGTATGTACATCTGATTTTATAGTGTTTTTAAGTAGCATCTTGTTTTGTCTAAAGGAAACAGAACAGAAAATAAAGTCACTTGAGGACCTTCAGGATGAACATGACTTCAAATACAAGACACTGCAGAGCAGAGGTATTTTACTACCCAAACACCTTTTGTTTTGTTCAATGTTATTTTTTTAACATTCAAGATGTGAATGTTTTCCCTTCTTTACAGCCATTCTCACTAACACTTTAGTGTTTGAAAACAACACTCTATATAGTGTACATAAAGTTATTAACATGGAACTATCCATTAATAAAACATTTATATATGAGAACATTGTGCTCTTTTAATAATGCAAGTAATTAATAGTCAGTTTTATTAATCTATCACAGTTTGCAAATTTATAAATGGATCTACAGCCTGTGAAGTGTTATCCTTTGCTTTTTATACCTACTACGGTGGCTAATTCCACATAGTTAGGAATCAGGATGACAAAACTGTTTACTTTTAAAGATTCACAGTGAACTACTGTATTCTTTTGTGTTAGCTGGACCCTGCACATAAATTATAGCCTAAATACTTTCTTTAATATTTTTTTTAGAAAATAGTATAGTTTTAATATCCAAATATATTTCCTTAAAAATGTTACAATAATTACTGTGTAAAAAATAATATTTTCTATCCATATCATACCTTAGCTACATATCATAACAGTTACCTTATCTAAAGATAAAAGTTGTGGAATGAAACATGATGCCTAGGTTATGGTGACAAGAATTTCACTTTAAATTTCTGTAAAAACATTAATTTGGTGGACAACATAGGAAGGCTATTCAGTGCTATTCAGTATGGAGAGAATACTAAGAATAAAAAATCCACATTTTCATTAACTTGGCAAATTTGGCGCAATATTGCAATGGACGCTTAAACAGTATAATAGTAGAAGGGGCATTATGATTATTTTCAGTCGCTCAAGTATCTCCAAAACTAATGAACTAGGACCTAAGATCTGAATAGTAATATTTAAAATTCAAAGGATTGTTACAATGTTCTTTTTTTTGTTTGCTACATATTTGTCTACCTTAACAATCCTATGGTGTTAATAATGAGATTCTGCATTTAATTTAGCTACAGCGACTTCATAACTAGCAGAAGAAATAAAAGCCTAAAACCTTGAGTTTGAGTAACTCAAGGAAGAGTTTTTCCATTGTGTGTCTGCAGAAAATGTCAGTTGTGCATTTCAAATGATGTTTGGCTTAAGATTTGATGCAGATAAAATGGTTGCAATCAGCCATTTGTTACTCACATGTAGTTTAGTTTGAAATATTGAAATTACTACAGTACAAATGTTTCATTTGGAGTTTTTGGACAGTTGAGCCACAAAGTTCTGTAGCTCTGTGTCTGCAGCAGATTGTTACCTTGGTATTCCGTAGACAGAACTGTTCAGTACATATATCCATAGCTTTTCAGTTAAAAAAAATAAATAATATTAATTCTTTGATTCAGATCATGATGCAAATGGAACAACTCAGCTTGAAATCAAGCGTGAAGAAATGATGATCAGAAATATGTTTATTGAACTGAACATGAAGAGAGAGGTATGATATTAAAAGAAAGAAATTTCAATTTTAAAGTATACCGTAAATATAAAAAAAGTCTACACACCCTTATTGAAATTGCAGGTTTTTGTGACGTAAAGCCAGAAATCAAGATGAATGTCAGATACATCTTGATTGTGACCTTGCAACCAACAAAATTCAAGAGAAAAACAAATAGATAATTATTAGGAAAAATAATTTAAATTAAAAACCTACAACACACTGGTTGCATAAGTGTGCACACCCCCTCCCCCTGACTAATTCTTTCTGGAAGAACCTTTTGCATTTATTACAGCAGTAAGTCTTTGTGAATAAGTCTCTATCAACTTTGCACATCTGGACTTTGCAATTTTTTCCCCACTCTTCCTTGCAAAAAAGTTCAAGTTCCTTCATATTGCCAGGGGATCTCCTGTGCACAGCCCTCCATGTTACATCCAATGCCTTTGATTTTCTTTTATACCCCTCTCTTGATCGGTACCTTTCAACAATAAGATCCCGTAGAAGTTTTGTCAGCTCCTTGCGGACCATGGCTATCCCATTAGGATGCAACCACGAAGGTTTCAAGGAAATCCTACAGGAACAGCTGATTTTTATTTGGGGTTAATCATAATCACTATCACTGATTGCAGGTGTATGCTACTTACCTTTGGATATGATTTTGAATGTGATTGGTTAACTCTGAACACAGTTACAGCCCCCATTATAAAAGGGTGTGCACACTTATGCAACCAGGGTGTTGTAGGTTTTTTAATTTCAATTATTTTTCCTAATAATTATCTATTTGTTTTTTCTTGAATTTTGTTGGTTGCAAGGTCACATTAAAGATATGAAAATGTCTGACATGATTTATCAGATTTCTGGCTTTACATCACAAAAACCTGCAATTTCAATAAGGGTGTATAGACTTTTTATATCCACTGTATAATGTATGTCCTTTGGTTTTCTGGTTTTGATTTGTAAATTTGAACTAACTACTTAATCTTTAATCGATAAAAATTGAGTTACTCTAAAAATAAAAGCTAATAGGTAAGCAAGCATTTTTCAAATGCTTTTTTGATGTTTGTTTTTGTTGAATACATATATATAACTTGCTTGTCCATCAGCTATCTATCACAGTGCACTTTATTTTGCATCTCAAAATGCAAAATTAAAAATTGTCACATGAAAATCACAATGATAAACTTGGCAAAAATGTTTAACTGATATACTTTAAGTTCAGCCTGCACACAATCAGAATCAAATGACAAGTAAATGAACTCTGCCCTCCAGTCTGTAGGTCACTATACTACACTCAAAAACAGACATTTGTGACATCATGAACCATTTTCTTCTAATGGTTTTTGAAAACCTCTCTAATTTACCAGTTGATGGGAAATATAATAATCTTCAATTATCTACAAATTGTCATCTTGTTTGTTAGTTAAACTGAAATGTTGATATGAAAGACATTTTAGACATACTGTACTTTGTAGGACGTGGTATGCAAGATAGCAGAAGCTTTGAACCTTGCAGAACAAATTCAATGCGCCCTCATCGCAGATGAATTAGTGGAGTGGAAGAGACGTCAGCAGATTGCTTGCATTGGAGGTCCACCCAATGCATGTCTGGACCAGCTTCAGACGTGGTGAGAAGTTTTTGTTTTCTTTTACTTGAGGGACCATAGACAACTTCATAATAAGCTTTAGCACCCAATGTCAACATTTTCATACCAACAGTTCTTTAATTTTTTAATCCTGCTGCAAGGTCAACCTCTTCTATTTGGCTTTTCAGTTCAGGCAGTTAAGGATTAGGCTAGTTTCTGGAGTATCGACCTAATGGCTTCCAGTGGAGGCAGTGTTAATTTAACCAGTTGTACTCAAGCATGTTTTGGTTCCTACTCTCAAAGGCAGGACTGTTTCCCACTTTGAAATAGCCAGTTACTGTAAACTCATTTACTTAGTTATTGTGACATTTAGAGGAAAATCAACTGCTTTCTTGGCTGCCACACCCCCCAAACAACTTTAATCAATTTGGTATGATTTCCTCTCTTCCTCTTACTGCTTTTGCCTACCTTTCACTAGACATGAAATGTTCACACTCCTTACAGTATCATTGTATCATCCCTGTTAACATTGTTATCCCTGGTTAAAGTCACTAATTATCTTCTAATGGCTTCTGCTTCTGGATCTCTTTCTATACTTATTCTTTTTGATCCCAGTGCTGCTTTTGACACTGTTTACCATTATATTTTACTTTCTCATTTTGAGACTGTTTGGAGTTTCTGACACTGCTCTTAAATGGTTTCACTTCAATTTACGCATGCAGCCAACTAGAATGCCTGAGGTGTCAGTTGGTATTGCTGTAGGCAGCACAGATAGCAGCGAGTAATCAATTTTATTTTTTTCAAATAATCTGCACTATTTTGTAAAACTGCCAGGTTATGCAGTGAATCTTTAAAGTCCTGCAGCTGCATGTGCTTGCCAGACAAATTGGGTACATGGTTCTATTTTCCAGGCTGGACCCCATGAAAATAGGGTAAGCTCAGCCTGGATGTCGTGATGCTCACCCTGCAGTCCATGTTGGTCCTAATGCCCCAATATAGTGACGGGGGCACTATTTGTTCTGTAAAAAGGCACCATCCTTCAGATGAGACGTAAGGTCCTGACTCTCTGTGGTCATTAAAAATCCCAGGCCGTTTCTCAAAAAGAGTAGGGGTGTAACCCCGGCATCCTGGCCAAATTTCCCATTGGCCCTTACCAATCATGGGCTCCTTATAGTCCCCATCTATGAATGAATTGGCTTCATTACTCTGCTCTCCTCCCCACTGATAGCTGAAGTGTGGTGAGTGTTCTGGCGCAGGTGGATGCTGCACATTGGTGGTGGTGGAGGAGAGTCCCCATTACCTGTAAAACGCTATATAAGTGTAAGCAATTATTTTTATTATTATTAATTATTTTCAGTTCTTGATAACTTCACACTGGTGTTTCCATCCCTCAGTTAGGGGTGTTGACTTTTTACTGACTTTTTACTGGTGCTCGCTGAAGCTCCTCCCACTCCCACAGTTACAATAATTATAACCATGAATTGAATGATTTAATGCTGACAAAAAAAGCATTAAATCTCTGCATAAAAAATTATGAATGATTTCTTAAAACTTGTAAAAGGGATCTTCAGTTGTAGTTTAATTGTAGTATTTTCTTTGTGGTGATTATTTGTATTATAACCCAAGTTATTGAATTGACCATTGTGGGAGATGGTTTTAATTAGACCATTTTTTTATATACAGTGTTTTTAAAGAAACCGTCATGGAATCTAGTTTGGATCGCTCTTTGTCTGGCCCCTCATTTTAGATCAGTTTGCCAAGGGTAACACAGAACCACAAAGTCCCCAACAGCATAGTTCTAGGGCTCTCAAGTCCCTCCACCACTACTAGGTCACAATCCCAGGAGGGGACCAGCAGATTGGCGCAATTGCTGCACCAATGGAGATGGTGTACCTAACCGTGGTGGTGAAGGAGGAGTTGAGTCTTCAGGTGAAGGTTTTGGTTTTCTGGTTGGACTACGTCCCCATTCTCAACTATGGTCACGAGCTTTGTGTAGTGACCAATAGAATGAGATTGTAGGTACAAGCGGTGGAAATGAGATTTCTTTGTAGGGCTGCTGAGCTTATTGTTCATGACAGGAATGGTGGTCTGGAAGGACCTTGAAATGCTCCTCTGGATCGAGAGGAGTCAGTTTAGGTGGTTGGGGTATCTGTGAGGATAATCTGTCACCAATTTAACCCTCACCAGGAGTAAGCAGTTAGAAATTGAGATTAGTTTTTTATTCACTACTGTAATGATCATACTGAATATATTCTATGTAAAAGAGTTTGATTGTCACCACAACCTGCAAATAAGATATATAAAGTGAAATTTATTTGATTGCATAAGTATTCAGTCATCTGAGTCATACCTTTGTGGAAGCATCTTTGGCAGCAATTACTGTTTGGATAGGTCCCTCCCAAGTTCCCTCACTGTAGGATTGTGATTTTTTTTTCTCCCATTCTTAGTTTCAAAATGGCTCTTTTTCCTAGACTACTTCTATGTGGCTTTGACTTTGTGTTTCATTGTCCCGCTGAAAAGTGAATTTTCATATCAATTTTAAATTCTTGGGCCACTCAAGCAGATTTTCCTCTAGCACTCACCAGTATTTTTTCCACTGTTTCCTATAACATAATGCTTTCACCACTGTATCTGACAGTTAGGGTGATGAAAACTGGATGGTTTGGGCTTAATTTAAGATGTAACATTTTTTATTTAGATCAGAAGGTTCACTTTTTGTCTTGTCTAACCATAAAACCTGATACAAATCTCATATAATAGTATTGTTCAGTAATAGCTTATTTTTTGCCACTCCTTCATACAGTTCAGTTTTGTATTGGGAAATTAATATTATTAATGTTTGATTAGTGTCTACTAATAGAACCTTATAGTGCAAATGTTTCAAAGTTAATTAATAATTAAGTAGTTACTTTACTGTTGGCTGCTCCATGGCACCCTTAACTAGTTTCTTGCATGTTGGGCTGCTTATATATACTGAGAGATATGATGCATATTGTATTTCTTCATGGAGTTCACTAGACACAAAGGGATGAGTAGTGTTTTCCTGATTTCTTCATCACTTCAACTTTATTCCTATTTTGTTTTGAAAGCTTTTTGGTTTACATGGTTATGAAGGGTCTATGTGTCATATTCACATGTAAAATTTAGCTTGGAATTCAATAGCACTCTTTTTATTACACACGGATAAATCGTCAGTTTATGTTCAAAATTATTCTTGAACCAGTTTGGTGTTGCAATAGTAAAGGGATAAACTTTTCAAACCTTTCCAATCTGGTTTACGACAACTTCATAGCACAGAAATTGCCATGATCAAAGTCACTAACGGTCTAATAGGTTCTGATTCTGATTCTCTTTCTATTCTCATTTTTCTTGATCTCAGTTCTTTTAACGTTGTTAACCATGATATCTTACTTTCTCATCTTGAGACTGTGTTTGGAATTTCTGACACTGTACTCAAATCTTTCAATTCTTATCTCACTGATCACTGTCACTTTGTCTTTTGGTGGATTTAGGTCTGGGTTCGATACTTGGTTCCCTACTTTTCAGCATTAACAAGTCTCCACTTGGTCAGCTTTTAAGATCACATGGCATCAACTATCGTTTCTATGTTGACGATACTCAAATCCATATCCATACCAAACCTGACACTGATGTGGCTTTGTCTATTCTATCTAACTGCATAAAAACATGGATAACTCAAAATTTGCCAATAAGACTGAAGTAATGCTTATTGGCACCCCCCATCAACTTACACTAAAATCGACACAGGTGCTGCTGCAGTGACAGCCTCTCATTTATTTTCAAATGCACTGAACTCTGTGACACTGTATACCACTTTGACTGAATTTTTAACATCTAAATCACCAGTCAGGGGTTAACGTTTTTGTCTCCTTTCCTCAATTTAATGTCTGATAAGTCCCCAGTACCACTATGAGATTGTTAATGTGTAAAGTGAATATTTAAATACTGTGATATATAAAATTAATAAAATACCTGGCTACAGCCAACCAAATGCATTAAAATATAAATACAATATAAATACGATTTCATTTTAAGGCTTGTTTTTACTCCTGCTGTTGACAGTATTCACATTTGCTAACTCCTTCTTGTTCATTCATTATTAATATTATTCATAATGTCTTCCATATCGCATTTAAATTTAAATGTTTTAAATCCATCAGTCCATCTATTTTCTAACCACTTTATCCAGGACGGGTAGGGGTGCAACCTACAGTATTATGTTACATTTCTTACCTTTTTAAGAGACTTCAGAAAATAATGGAACATAATGTAACATAATGTGTGCTGTGGTAAAAAAGCACAGATCTGCTTAGTATTGAATATTTATAAGGAATTTTACCACTAAAGGGAAATTTTAGTAGCTGAGCATAAAAAGAATAGCAGCATAACACATCTGAAGGTCATTAACGATATTAATTTAGGAACATAAACATATTATGTAAACTGTATATTGCTGGTCTTGGTATTTTGGTATTTTAATGAAAAAATACACACCAGTATTCCATTTCTCCCTAAACAGAAGCATACTTTTAGAATTTGATTAATAGGGAATATAATATGGAATCATGTATCTAAATAAATTAATAACGGTATAACTATATTCATGTACTGTTGCACAAACAGTAGTATAAGACTTTCCATTGATATGTGTATGGCTGTTTCAGTCGTTGTCACATGAGCTTAAGTGACTGACTTATAACCCTGAGGTCGAGTGTTCAAACCCAGCTGTTGCCATCAGTTTTCTTTTAACAAATAAACATTTCTTTGAAAAACTAAAATAGCAAATATTATTGGCATTATATTGACATTTTTTATATTTCAAAATATCACAACATGTTCGTACTGTATGAACACGGCGATACCGCAGGTTGTACTGTAGGGCGCAAATCCACGTGAGCCCGAAAGCCCTACATTAATGTGCATTCGCCTGGCTCTGCACGGTTAACGCATCTCTCTCTCTCTCTCACGTTACTTTTGAGGTATTTGAAGGAAATACCGCGGCTTCTTAGTAGCTGCATTAGTATGTATTTCACCATTTTTAGCTTTATCAGTTTGGATAAAATTGTGTTGATTCTAAATATGAAGTCCTATTTGAAAGTGTCAGGAATGCAAGCTCTGACAGCAACAAACTGGTGAATTCAAACTTGAGGCTTCTAAGATGGTGATCAGTTAAGCAACCTGTCACTTTATTGTAGGTTCACAACTGTAGCAGAGAGTTTGCAGCAGGTCCGCCAGCAGCTGAAGAAACTAGAAGAGTTGGAACAGAAATACACATATGAGAATGATCCCATCACACAGAAGAAAAACTTCCTTGAGGAGAGAGCACTCTACTTATTTCGTAATCTCATTATAAGGTAAGAGTTTCTAACATCTGTGCAATTTTTTACTGATCATTAATGTACAAAACAAAATTGGGTCACCATTGCCAAAAATAATATTTATATTATACAATTATGATTATAAAGGATCTCTGAAAACAAAATTAAAAGTTGCAGAAAAGGCTACATTATTTTAATTTATATATTTTTACATTTTTATCGCTTGTGAGTGCTGCTCGTTTTAAGAACATAAAGATGTAAGAATGGTTTCATATTAGGAGTCCCTTGCCCTATATTACTTGTTTCGTAAATTACTAGATAAGTGGATAGAAAATTTCAAGATGCTATTACTTGAAATATATTAGAGTTGGAGCCTCAGTGAATTGTCTGGGAAACATCTTATAGATACCCATACTGTATTCACTATAAACACTGTGTATTCTATTCCTTGTTACTTAAAGAATTCTAGGTATGACCCAGTGTCCTTCTTTTACAGCTGGGTGTGGAATAGTCCCCTAAGTAGATCCTGTTTGTAAACTTCTGAATTTTATGTACTCTGATCAAATTCAACTTCACCATTCCTTTTTCTTGTAGACTGGCAGTTCTAATAACATTTTCACAGGTGGTTAAGATCTGTAGCCACTGACATTTGCTGTCAACTGCATTTAAAATATTCTTAAAAACAAAATGGTAGTATGCAACATGTAAATTATAGCTAAATTAGTTTTAGGATTCACTTATAACATTCTCTTTGTAAAAAAGCACGTTTTAAACACAGTAAAAGCTTAGTATTTATAAACAATGTCAGTAGATACTACGACTACTTTCCTAAAATGTTAACCTTCCTTCCAGATTAGTCAGTTGATTTATTTTTTTTTCAGAAAACTGTTTTTTGAATGACTTCTTGTAACACATAGTGCTGGAAAACAGGGACAGAAAAAAAAACAGTGCAGCTTTTGTTAATGGTTTGGAAGTATTCTTTATTAACTACACATTAGCCTAGAACTAATGTAGTCTTGTACATAATTTTGGGATGACTGTAATATTGTTTTTTTGTGGCGTTATTGTGCATTTACTGTGTGAGAAATTGTGTGACTCTTAAATTTTGATTGTCAGAGGATCCTTAATCTGTCCAGTTAGTGAGTTAGATTGTTAGCAGCCAAAACATTTGGACTGGAGTTACTAAAGGGTTTGGTTACAAAGATGTACTGACCAGAAAACTTCCCTGACTGAGACGAGACTTGAGATCTTTGTAAATTTGTAAGTCCTACAGTATGTACTGTAATACATGTCATAAGAGTGGAATAAAATCAGTTTTCATTCATGACTTTTACAGAGGTAGCTGAAAACTTACTGTTGAGACTTGTATTTTTTGAAGAGATTTATCTTCTTAAAATGCAATTTTTGTACCAGTTTTACCAGTAGCTGATTAAATAAGACCAGTCCCCCTGTAGTGTTTACATTCAGTTTTGCTCCTGAAAGTAATATGAATTTCTTTTTTTTGCATCAGCAGTTTTCCAATCTGAGGGCTTCCATGCTCTAGGATTCTTAAAATATTGTATCAAAGGGTACATATCCATGGTTTCCTTAAGTATACCGTGGGAAGTACTATTAGACCATGGATATTAATCGTTATTAAACCTCTCTAACCCTGGTAGAAGATAAACATAATTTATACTAAAATTGCCTAGTACCTGGTTGTTTGAAAAGTATAGGACAATAAGAGCATCTTCTGGTGCAGGTTGTCCATCTGCAGGTAAGTTTACAAACCCATTTAAAAGTTTTTTATTTTTTTATTTTAGGAACAAAACAAAACCATTTTACATATGAACAACCATTATTCAGCCTTACATCACAGGCACAAATTCCTGTTTGTTCCCCTATTTTTGTACAGTTATATAACTTTTTAACAAAACTATATACATTCAAAAGAAGGAAGATGTATACATTTATGAATATGAAAAGGGAGGAGACTATATAAATGTATCTTATTAAATTTCAGTTATTTTGTATCTCAACAAAATCTGACCTTAAAGGTTTAATGTACTGAACATATCTAGACCATCATTTTTTCATATGGAATTTTAGTGAAAATATATATTTTTATATATTTCCTTTATTAATTCAATCCAATCATTCATTGTTGGTAGATCTGTGAGAAGCCACTTTCTTGTTATAGCTTTCTTCCCTGCTGATATAAGGATTCCAAACAAATATTCATCACTTCCCCAACAAACAAAATCTAGTTTACCAAAATATAAAGCCTCAAATGTAAAGGGTACATTCCTTTCAAATATAGTTTCCAGGGCCTCATTTAATTCCTTCCAGAAAAGCCTTATTTTAGGGCAGTTCCAGAATATATGCCAATGATCACCTTGGTTTCCACACTGTCTCCAACACTTCCTCCGTATGGTGCGCCTTCTGACTCGGAGAAAGAAAAATCGAACAATGTTTTTCCACAAAAACTCTCTCCATAAGTGTTAGTTAGTACATCTCCATTAAAATTCACAAATTTTAAGCCACTGTTCATTCGAAATTCTAACTTCACTTTCTTTCACCCATTTATCTTTTATATACTCTTTTATATATTTCTTTTCCATAAAACTTTTAAATAATCTAGATATAATACCTTTAACTAATTCTGATTTGTAGGCTTCTGTGACTATTTTCACTACCCCATCATTAACAATATCTAAATCTCCCCTTATAATCTCCTTATTAAAATAGTGGCGCATTTGAAGATATTTATAAAAATCTGAATTCTCCAAATTATGTTTCTCCTTTAAATACTGAAAACTTTGTATCTGATTCTTATCCTTTGTATTACAAAATGCAGTTATTCCTTTTGTAATCCAAATTTTAAATCTATTATCCAATTTATTTGGTTTAAACTCCATATCATGTCCTTAATTGAAACTTTATCCTACTTCTTCTTCTTCTTCTTCTTTTTCACAGCCTTAGTCCCAGACTGTCTTGGGGTCAGCTGCTTTGGTTGCTCTTCTCCACTTGTCTCTGTCGAGCACATCTTCCTCACTCACTTCACATACCTCCATATCTTTTCTCACACAATCTATCCATCTCTTTCTAGGCCTGCCTCTTCCTCTGTTACCTTCCACCTCAACTTCCTCAACGTCCCTCCTCATGATATGTCCATACCACCATAACCTCGCCTCTCGCATCTTCTCAACCACATCCACCACCCTACATCAACTTGTTTCAGTTTTCCTCCATTTGTCTCCTCAACATTGGTCATAGTATCTCCTCTTCTCTCCATTACCATTATTTCAGATTTTTCTTCATTCATTTTCAGTCCACCCTTTTCCAGACTCCTCTGCCATTTGAACACTTTCTCCTGTAGTTCTACTTCTGA